CTGAAGAGTTCAGAATAAATCAAATATAACATTTAATTTGTCAGGTAAAAATGTATCATGCCAGTTACATAATTAAACAAATAGAATCCAATTCAGAGATAATAAATACATAACATCAATTGCTCAAAGATGAATCTAAGAGTGAGAGGTGCAAACCTGACAGTGGAAAAACATGCGTAGCATTTATGAATACTGTTCCCTCAGATATAAATACTCTTCAAACAGATTAAAATGTATCTGTATTTTTAATTTTGGCTTACACTCATGTACTTTGTTGTTCAATGATCTATAAGTGTAAATACAAACATATATTTGTCTTGAGCACATTCAGTATAATCACTGTATTTGATCATTTATCATTTCTTAAAGGAATCGTTCACCCAAAAATGAAAATGGTCATAATTTAGTTCCCTGCATGTCGTTCCTAACCTGTATGACCTTCTTTCTTCTGTGAAACACAACAGATGATATTTTGAATATTGTTGCCAACCAAAGTTGTGGTATCATTGCTTTCCATCGTGTGGACAAAAACATTTCTCAAAATATCGTCTCTTATGTTCCACAGAAGAAAGTCACACTGTTTTGAAATGACTTGAAGATAAGTAAAGTGACAACAGAAACTGAATTTTTGGGTGAACTATCATTTTAACATGAAATGTTTTTGTTTGGTAGTATTTTCACACAGATTTTGTTCAATAATATAATTACACTCACCGTAGTTTCTTCAGTTTACAGTGTGGATCCTCCAGTAGAGCAGAGGGCAGCTTCACTCCTGAATCTCCTGGTTTATTACGGCTCAGATCCAGTTCTGTCAGGTGTGAGGGGTTTGATCTCAGAATCAGAAGAGCTTTATTGCCAAGTATGTTCACACACACAATGAATTTGACTTGACGACAGGAGCTTCCAGTGTAGAAGAAAGTACAAACATAGTGCAGACATACATGATAGTGCAGACATACATAGGAATAACACAGTAGGGATGTAATATAACACAAAAAATAAAAAAATAAAAATAAAAAAAATAATGTACTATATACAGAAATAGAAGTATAGGAAAAAATGTAATTGTTTAGATAAATGTACAGATATGTTTATTAGTGTGCAGATATGTTATTTACAAAGTGTGCAGTTTAATATAAATATAACTATGTTAGTTGTGATGGACAATGTATAATTATGAAAGATTAATTGTTCAGGCTGAATATAGCCTGTGGGAAAAAACTGTTCTTGTGCCTGACTGTTCTGGTGGTCAGTGCTCTGTAGCGCCGACCAGAAGGCAACAGTTCGAAGAGAGAGTGGGCTGGGTGTGAAGGGTCCAAGGTGATTTTTTTAGCCCTTTTCCTCACTCTGGAGATGTAAAGATCTTGGAGGCTGGGCAGAGGGACACCAATAATCCTCTCAGCAGTCCTGACTGTCCGTTGTAGATCAAATTTTTGATCAATTTAATATTCTGAATAAAAGTATGAAAGTTTTTTTTTTAATCTTATCGATCCCAAACTTTTAACCAGTAATGAATACATGGTTTGGGATCAGTTGGACGGCATTATAGCATTATATTTTGCAAATACTCAGTGTCAGGAGCTTTATTACCAAGTATGTTTACACACACAAGGAATTTGACTTGACGACAGGAGCTTCCAGTGTAGAAGAAAGTACAAACATAGTGCAGACATACATGATAGTGCAGACATACATAGGAATAACACAGTAGGGATGTAATATAACACTAATATAATAAAAAAGAAAAAATAGAAAAATTTAGTAATGTACTATATACAGAAATAGAAGTATAGGAAAAAATGTAATTGTTTAGATAAATGTACATATATGTTTATTAGTGTGCAGATATGTTATTTACAAAGTGTGCAGTTTAATATAAATATTATGAAAGATTAATTGTTCACAAGCTGAATATAGCCTGCGGGAAAAAACTGTTCTTGTGCCTGGCTGTTCTGGTGGTCAGTGCTCTGTAGCGCCCACCAGAAGGCAACAGTTCGAAGAGAGAGTGGGCTGGGTGTGAGGGGTCAAGATTTTTTTTTAGCCCTTCACTCTGGATATGTAAAGATCTTGGAGGCTGGGCAGAGGGGCACCGATAATCCTCTCAGCAGTCCGGACTGTCCATTGTAGTCTCTTGATGTCTGATTTGGTAGCTGAACCAAACCAGACAGTTATGGATGAACACAGGATGGACTCAATGATAGCGGAGTAGAACTGTTTCAGCAGCTCCTGTGGCAGGTTGAATTTCCTCAGCTGGCGAAGGAAGTACAACCTCTGCTGGGCCTTTTTTGCAATGGAGTCTATGTGAGTGTCCCACTTCAGGTCCTGAGAGATAGTGGTGCCCAGGAACCTGAATGACTCCACTGCAGCCACAGTGCTGTTCATGATGGTGAGTGGGGGGAGTGCAGGGGCTTTCTCCTGAAGTCCACTATCATCTCCACTGTTTTGAGCGTGTTCAGCTCCAGGTTGTTGTGACTGCACCAGACAGCCAGCTGCTCAACCTCTTGTCTGTAAGCAGACTCGTCGCCGTCCTGGATGAGGCCGATGACTGTGGTGTCGTCTGCAAACTTCAGG